TGTTGACCGCTTCCCCAGAGAGAGCGTTAGCCCTGAAGAGGGTACGTGGATGAGAGTCGCATCAGTGCGGAAACCAGGAGCCAGAAGGGGCCCATTTCTTGGGTTCCGGGCCGTTTCTCAAAGTTTCTTCTTCATCCACTGCTCCATTGAACACCTTCACCCCTATTTCCAAAGTGAGGTAGGTGGTCAGTGAAGCAGAGACGAAAAAAAAACATGTAAACGGCCTCGAACCCGAGAAATGGGACCCCTTCCTTGCCCGTTTTCGCATTGATGCGACTCTCATCGCTGTGCCCTCTTCAACACTACGCTCTCTCTGCTATCTAATCACTCGCCACGTATAGACCTGCGGCGAGTGATTAGATAGTCGGTGGGCGTTCCGGGCCAACTGCGCCAAAGGGAAGGCCATGCTAGATCGCCGGGCATATCCTTCGATGCGAATTGCGTGTTGGTCCGCACCCGAAGTCCTTCTATCTCTCCCCCCTCCGGTTAAGTTTTCCCTTCTTCGACCTTCGTGCTTGTCGTGGAATCTTCCCTTAAGCGATTGAAGAAATTATTTATGTAGCAGCTTCAGGCGGAGCGATTACGGTAAGCCTCGTTGAGCTCGACGGTGATGGCAGATGACGTCATATTCTGAAGACGGGGGCAGTGAAGGAGGGCCTGCTTCTGCTTTGGGGACATCTAAGGAATATTTCGCCGTAAAACTTCCATAACTTCCATCAGCGGCGGCACCCCGTGCGACGACAAGTTTGATGATGTGTTTCATGAGCAAAGCGACTGTTTTTTTGCTCCGTACATGGTATGTTGCAGGAATGAACGCAACCCCTGATATTTCGGAGTGCATTCTTAGTAGTTGTCAACGCTTCAACGACTCGAGCTGGTCTCAGCCAGGCAACAAGAATTATAGTTTGACGCCAAATAATGAGGTTTGGGAAGTAGTTATGAGGACATTTTCAGAAAACCATGGGTTTGCAGAAATTACAAGATATATGAAGTGATTTCTGAAAGCATGTGGCCGAGAACACCAGTGGCACAGACAGCAATGCTATTCATTGGAATTTAGCAAACAATATATATATATATATATATATATATATATATATATATATATATATATATATATATATATATATATATATATATATATATATATATATATATATATATATATATATATATATATATATATATATATATATATATATATATATATATATATATATATATATATATATATATATATATATATATATATATATATATATATATATATATATATATATATATATATATATATATATATATATATATATATATATATAAATTCCAATGAATACATTGCTGTTGTCCACTGGTGTTCCGGCCACATTGCTTTTCCAGAATCACTTCAAATTTTTACCGTAATTTCTGCAACCCATGTTTTCTGAAAATGTCTCAAACTTACTTCCAAACTCATATTTGGCGTCACCATAATTCTTGTGCCTGGCTGGAGACAGTCGAAGTCGTTGAAGCGTTGACACTTATTGCACTGAGCAATATTTTCTCGGCATGGCTCCAACATTGGGCACTTTACACGACAGGAAAAATGTTTGGGGTGCCCTGCGGTGGCATATCGCAAAAAATCCCGGATGGTCATCAATGTGTTGATATTATATTCAACGAACAGCTGTTTCGACTGTTGACAGCGCTGCACTGACTCGATCAGTTATTGCTCTTCCTCTAGATGATGTTTTCCAACTGAAAATCGCACCAAGGTACGCAATTATCTACGACTTCAATCTACGTGTTCAAAGGGTGTCAAAAAAAACGTGTCAGACTTGACTACATAGGATTTCATATTTGTTGCGGTGCATTTGCTGAATATGATAATACGGGTATGTTAAGGCCGATGTCATAGTTTGCGAATCGAGCGATTCGCTAGCGAATCGCTGGATCCGAGCGTTGCGCCAGCGAATCGAACGTTGCACCAGCGAATCGAACTTTGCGCCAGCGAGTCGAACGATGTACCAGCGAGTCGAACTAGGTACCAGCGACTCAATAGTGGGGGGCCCAACGTTCAAAGGAAGCCCGCCACTTTCAAACAGTGTCACGTGACAGTGGACGCTGTTTGAAAGTGGCGGGACTTGACAGTGGACACTGTTTGAAAGTGGCGGGCTTCCTTTGAACGTTGGGTCCCGCCACTATTGACCTAGTTCGACTCGCTGGTACATCGTTCGACTCGCTGGCGCAAAGTTCGATTCGCTGGTGCAACGTTCGATTCGCAAACTATGACATCGGCCTTATAGATGTTTTATGCTACTCGAAACACTCGAAACTTTCAGAAGTGTAGCTGTTTGGAGAGGGCTGGGCATGGCTGAAGGATGGAGTAGTTAGCGATGACGGCGAGAAGGACCAAATAACAATGCTTCTTCTGAATAGTATTTTTCAATTGGAAGGAATTTGGACTGTACTGCTAATCCAACCGGTTCATGTACATGCGAGAAAAAATAAACCCTTCCATTTTGATGGAGGGATGCGGTGTGATGATGGGTGGGGTTCGTAAAATAAGGTTTGAGAGCACATTCAATTCCATTCTACTACATGAATCGTTTTGCCTTAACAAGATTACCTTGTCACTGCGACGTCAGCAGGAACCAGGACTTTTCTCATTGTTTCTTCGGTGAACTAATAAAAGATCTACTCCATGCACTTTCGTCTTCCAAGGTAGCAAAGTGCTTCTGGCTATTACACCTCTGCCTACAAAATCATCGCAGCCTGCAGCCATCTTTCGGCCATCTTTCGGGCTCAAACTGGTGCTAAGATTCGCCAGGACTTGCCGTTGAGTTGCGTACGGTGAACAAAGACACAGCAAGCGAGATTCATGAAGTACGTTGGATTTGAGGGCTCGGAACTTTACGAAAACCTGAGAGTGACGGGCGGACTGTAAGTTACCCGAATGAAGAGTACATGATGACCAGAAAGGCACAAACATCGAGCACCGCGATGGAGGGGAGCATGCTCGAATCCTACAGCAAATCGTGGTGGTGAGCACGCGTCGCGATAGTTGACGAGCTTCTTAACAGTCAGAAACCTTAACTGGCGAATTCTTTTACGACAGCTCGCCTCTGCAAGAGGCTCAATAATGTTCGCACTCGCCAGAGCGGTCCTACTACTAAATCCTTGTCTTGTTCCAGGGGAACTTTCTCTGCCTATGCAGACAGTATCCATCAATTCGCTGCTTTCACAGATGAAGGCCGCGATCACTCGATTTGGAAGACCTTCAGGCTTGTCATGACGATCAAGCTGCAGCCAGCAGCAGTCGAAGGAAGCGAGGTTAAGCCAGAGGACTTATGTGCATTAGTTTGGACGCTTACCAACACTTCTACCGAAGAGTAGTTTCGTCCCAAATTCGAGTGGTTCCATCATTTCGACGGTATTCCACGCGTAACGGCACTTTTCCTCGCCACCAAGTAGGATTCCTTAAAGGATGTGGGGACGGGGAATGAGAGCTGGATCCTTCTCGACACTGAAAAAAGTGTCGTTTTCTGGCTTTCGGAGAGAAACTTGGACCCAGCAGTTCAAATCACAGCAAAATTACGCCAAGCGGAATGAAGCGAGCGAAGGATAGAACTGTTGCTAATGCATAAAAACGCCGGTCACCACATAGCGAAGAGGACACAGCAATGTTAGAGAAGGCTGGAATACTTTTCCCATCCGAACCAGTCCTATGATCTCGCCTGTTCCAAATTCAAATTCGTCAAGTATCTCGAGCAGTTTATCGCGCTAATGTACAGGGCTGACGTTCCAAACATATGAGGAACCGCGTCGCGAACGCGCGGTCTCATATACACTTTTTCGAGTCGCTCCATTTTTCATTTCCTTTTCTGTGCACCATGTGATAAGGTACAGTGTATTCTTCCTTTCGAAACTAAACTTCATGCAGTTCTCAAAACTAGTGAAAGAGCAACACCTCCTTATGTCATTCCTCAAATTGAACTCACTAAGGGCTCTGGCACGTTACATCTAGCGGCAGTCTAACGTATCAGGAAAGCTCATGTGGGCAACAGTTCAACTCTTCAATAAGTTTGGAACCACCACAGATGGAAAATTCAGTGACTCGAAACTTACAGCTACTACCAGGACAATTATCAGATGCAGAAACTTGCTCTCCCTTGTCGACTTTCGTACTCCCAAAATGAAAAAATCGATGTGAAAACCCAGCCAGGCACTCTAAAGACTCCACATCTATAGTGGATAGGAAGCCACTTCGAGTACCATACTTGGGACGTTTTACTGGACCGAGCACCCAAGAATAGAGCAAAAATTCTCTAAAAAGCTATTTTTCGAGTTTGTTGCTCTCGAAGAATTGTTACAATGGAACCCTCCACCTAACAGCTCTAGAATTCTGTATTTTACACCCTGGAGACATGGGTAAATGAATGCCCCACAAAACGTTGATCCCCTGAAGAAAGCAGAGCAGAAGGCCTGGAAACATTTTGACACGCCTCAGTTGCGTGCCACCGCACGCGCCACCCCCTTCGTCTGAAGGCTCGTGTAAACGCGGCAGGTGGCAGATCTCAATTCTATTCTGGAATTACTTTGAGATAAGAGTTACAAACACTTCCCTGAAGTTTGTTTGTTCCATCAAGCTACTATGCGTTTTTAACGACACAATGTCTTGGTCCTCATAATTTTGGACCACCCTGTAGTCTGCTGATATGCTATTAGTGAGACCTCAGAATTGATGAGACCAGTGTTCAATTCACATTCCAACTCACTCCTTTAGAGAGAGGTGACTAACTTGCCCGCTTTTTAATCGTTTTGTCACAATGTTGGTCGAATAGGGGTTCGAAAAGAATAGAAGAAATATTTTACATGTATCCCTGTGCATCAGATTCTTACTACTACAACGATGAAAGTTACTTGGGAACGGCGGTAAGTGAACAACATTCACTGACAACATCTGCGGGTGAATGTGTGGGGATCGAATTGTATGCAATGAAATAATCTGCTTCAGATGAAAAGGCGTTTGTCGGATCTTCCTCTTCTACAGCTACAAGTCACTGCAGCGTTGGTTACGCTCGGCATACCTGGGATTACAACTTCAACGAAATCATCAAAAAGTAGGAGAATATCAGTGATTTTTTTTCTTAACATATTTTTAGGTCGCATTAAACGGCTTTGAGGGCCGTCACCTTACAGTGATTTGCAGCTAAACATGCTGTGAAACTGACACGTTTACAGGTGCTGTTTCCAACACTTCACCGATTCCTCAACGAATTTCTCAAAGCGACTCACATCCGGACTACCGTACGAACACTCACAACAGGTTCTGCAATTTTCGAATTTTTGCGTCGACATGAGATTATAACGATGCAATATCCTCAACTCCTCGTACTAGCGTAATGAGCAACTGACGAATATTTTTAGAAACAAACTGTAATCCCACGCTGTTATACAGTTTGAGACAGAATTGATACCAATAATGAGGCAACTCGGAAACTCATTTAAGGCCATTGAGATGAAGTCAGAGCATAGGTTCTAAAAAATCCCGTCAGCCCTGAATTGGCTCTAAGCCGCTCAAGATAGATATCGAATGATAAAGTAGGCGTTGTCAAGTGATCTCGCGTTATCGGTAGCGAATTCTTCGGAAGTATTCAGTCACGGTGACGTTCGGCGTAGGGGACAGCTATTTAAGAAAAAGTTGATTAGGCAGTCGTATTATTGATGCCTCTTACATCATAGTGTGTATGCAGTGTGTGGGCCAGGGGTTTGGAAAAACGGCGAGCTGACTTGATCTATGGAGACGACGTCACAAAGGCCACCGTAGAACATCACGGTGTACTCGGAGTAGCTACTACATCAAAATTCTCGCGGATATTTTGAAAAATCTAGTCGAAAGTAGACATCAAACTTTTTCTGTGTTTCCTGTAGGAGCAGGAAGAAATGAAAGTCTTGCAAAACAACAGATGCGATAGTGATATCTAAAAAAGGTCAGACGTTGCACTGTTTTGCTGACCGAATTAAGGAAGAGCCGATTGGATCTCGAGCGTAACAACTTCTCCACTAAAGGCGTTGCTGGAGTTTTTGGTGGTAAGCCTTTATAGTTCTCTAATGAGTCATAAAAATAAAAATACAAAAATTTCAGACAATGAAGTTGCCAAAACACGATTCAGAAGAGACGTCTCCTTTATCGGAAATTCATTCTTTGGATGGCATAACACGTTAGTCACTCGCTACGATTTAGTTCAATGCTTCACATCGCTGAAGGTCTGTTTTATGAAGCATTGGAAGAGTGAAATTTAATAAATTTGAAGTGTTTCCTTGATGTTAAGGGGAACATGTGCATGCTAATCTTGCATGTTGCCAAAAAAATTGGTGAGTAAAGAGAAATTTCGGAGGATACGACTCTAGCCATTTAGCCATTGCTCTCCAAGAGTTACCAGTTATCTGGGAATTAAACTTCGGAGTGTGGGCTAAAATATCCGGATTGTGCCGGTATGATAAACAAACTGAAACACTGCAAACACTGCGCGACACTTCCTGTTGCTGGCCAGTGGTCTAACTAGGCTAAGCTATTTTCACATTAAATCGTTTGGCAATGGTAATGTGGTAATGCGCGTCCGAAGTAATCAGTTTTATTGCAAATTTCTAAGAAATTCCACAATTTGTTGCCATGCCGCCCCAATCTGGATCTTCTAACCAAAGCCATTAGATCACTAAAGTGTTTGTGTCACCTTTGGTAGTCATAACGAGGCATTCGCTCAAATTTCTTCAGTTTTGCCTTAGAGATGAAGATTACTGTAACAATTGCAGACGCAGGATAGTATCTCGCCTGTGGTGACTAGATGGACATGTAAAGGAAACCAGGTGTGCTGCGGAACAAATGCATGTTGTACCGCTGTTAACGCGAACGACAAGATTTCGATTTACGAATTAGCGAACTTTATGCTAGGGTGAGCCTTTAACTAATTGTTAGATAAAAGCAAAAATAATCGACTATGATTCACGGTGCCACTCTACAGGGTGGGCAAGAATTACGGTAACAAGAGGTTGGCGCTATCAATTTTTAATTTTGAACACCGGGAGTTTTCGATGTATATTCTACGTATTTATTTTGATAATTCAGTGTTCCATCTTTGATTTGTCACATGAAATATATCAACTCCGAATGGACAATCTTTTAACTCCTCGAGAAATAGTCACTACTTCGCTCCGACGAGCTGTTTGATTGTGTTGCATTGCCCGACGATTCAGAATGCTCTTTGAAACTTCCCTTGACCATCATTACAAAGTTTAGAAGGCTGTTCACCAGCATCAATGACATGACAGGATTTCTTCCCGAGTAATATTTCTAAAATACGTGCGAAGAAGTAAGTGCTGGAAGCCACCTTGCTCAATCCGTCGTTTGGTCGCTGAAACTGCTGTCTAGCGCACTTTCTTGCAACGCCTTATTTGCACACACCTTAACAAGAAGATTACAAGCATAAAAATGCCTAACATCTAACCGATGCGAGGAAATTGAATAGAAGAGCAAAGATGCTACAGGTGATTGTCTCATTCCCATGATGACCTTCCTTTATGGTTCCTGGCTTCCTGATGAGAAAATTCTGCTGTCGAATACAAAGAGCAGCTTTACTAATGGAGGTGAAAGCCAACAGCCATTCAGTGATGGTTTTGCACAAATCATAAGAGCTGGATTCACGATTTGAAGACACCTCAGACCTCTGCTGCTCAAGATATGAAACTATAGTAAAAATCATCTCAAACCCCTCTGTCTCGGTTGGTGCTTCAAAACGATAGGACATAGGAAACACAGGACATCAGAGCAAGATTTGGCGCCCACCCACAATGCACAGGTTGTCCAAAAGCCGATGACAACAGAATATCGTGGAATTCATCATA